GGTGAGTTCACCCCATCATATGCCAGAAGGTCAGATGCTTATGGTGATGCCACTGTGTCCTCTGGCATTGAGGAATAGAGTGCTCTGAAGAGGAGAAGGCCTCTAATGCGGTGGAGCAGTTCCAGTTTACATGGATTAGTGGGTTCAGAAAACCCCAGGCTGCTGCTAATTCAGTGCTATGCAGAAGTCATATGCTGTTACCAGAGGGGGTGAATTTGGCATTCAGTGGTCTTTCAAACTCTGCATTGGGCTGCTCTGGGGATTGCATTGGTGCCAATCTTTAGCAGCAGGGAAGAAAGGGGAGGACCTTGCACTCTAGTTGGGAAGGTCATTATGAAAGGAAGTTGCATAAAACCCTGCACTGACACTCTGTAGCTCATCTTACCTTGACGCAGCAAGACTATGAATGTGGGTCCAGTGGCGCTATGTCTTATGTGTCTGTCTCCTAGGGTAGGATGCTGCATGTGTTACCCTCCACCATAAAGAAGGAAGAAAGGGAGAACCTAGATGCTGCAGGATCCTCTTCCTACAAAAAGCAGAAAGAGTCTAAAGACAAAGCAAACAGTGCCAGGTACAGAGGGAGTAGTTTCGCTCAGCTGTATCCTTTTGTTTTAGTATGCCACTAACTGCAGAATTCCCCCTTAGAACTAGAATTGAAATGTGTGTGGCTCCTCCAAGGGTGTGTATTAAAGGAATTTCTGTTACGTTGCCCTTTCCTTGGCTCTAGTATCCTTGCATCTTCGCTCGTCTAGAGCAAGTGGATTCTTTTTTGACTTATCTGAGTTGCTGTACTGGATCAGTCCTTCTAATCCAGTTTCCTAACCCCAGTAGTGGCAGGTTGAACAGAGCCCAGCCATAGCTTTGTAACTGAGAAGTGAAGAATGTCCTATTTTACTGAAATACAGCCTTTCCATTCTCTCCCACACTGCTTACAACTAGGGATGTTAGCCTGTACCCGGTTACATAATTAACTGATAAGCCTGGGCTCATCAGTTAATCTTAACGATTACCTGCACCACCCCGCCTCTCCTAAATGCCTCTGTATCAGAGGCAGCAAGGTGGGAGGAAGATGGGAGACTGTGCCTGTGCAGTTGCTTCCCCTCTTCCCCCGCTGCCTACCACATAAACTCAGCATTGTAGAGGATGGGAGGGCAGGCAGGAGCCAGTACACCCAGGAAGCTGGCTTTCAAGCCGGCTCTCCACGTGTACAGGGTTCAAGCAGGAGCTGGCTCCTACGGAGCTGCCTGCCTCCTCTCTCCTGTTGCCTCCCTCAGAAGCAGCAATGCGAGGAGGAGCAGGCAGGAGCTGCTGGCAACAGTAGAGGTAGCGAAGGCAGGACCCAGTGCTTAGAGAGGGCTCCCCATCAGCACCGACTCCCACCTGTCATGTGTAAGTGTTAAAAAATTGAGTAGTTACACATTTACAAAATCCCCACATTTGTTAACATCCCTACTTACAACCAACTTGCTCCCTTTTTCCCCCCCACTCTTGCATGTTTTAGCCATATGCCACCTCCTATTCAGTTTGTTATCCTGGTGGCCCACTTTGTGTGTCTTTTTTGTGTCACGCTGAGGCTCATGTCAGTTGGAAGATGTGAATGTTCTACAATTTAGGCTTATTTTCTCTTTCTTCCCCTTTAGCTCACACAACTGGAATGCACTCTTCATGGGGACAAACGCTGTGGCAGATGCAATTGCACAGAAGTACAATGCTACCAAGAGTCAAGTGCTTGATCACGTGAGTTGGATTCTAGCTGGTGATCATCATTTCAGTCCATGGATGGAAGCATGTAGCCTGCAGTTTAAAGGCTGGTGCTTTGGGTGTCTGTCTTCCAAGGGATTTAGCTCTTGGTACCATGCACTGTGTTTTCCTTAAAACACCTATCCGTGATATGGCTCTTGCTGCATCTCGACATTTATCTAGACTGTTAGCCTTTCTGGCTGAATAGACCCTTCACAGTGTGAACCCAAGTGCTGCTGCCCACTGGGCGGTATCTGGATGTTCATCTTAATGCGGGCTTATGTACAAAGTACAAAATGAAATGGAAGACATATACAGGCACATGGGCCGTTCAGGGTGGTTCTTGTTACTTATCTGTTCCTGATGTTCTGTACTGTTCTCTGGAGTCCCAGTTTCAGAATTTTCAATATTGGCCTAACCCTACTCCCAATGAACTCAATGGGAGTTTTATAATTGGGGTTCTAGGGAAGCTGAGTGCTATTGAAAATCCCACTAAGAGTGTTAAGTGGAAAGCTATAGCAGCACACTAGGTATTTCCCAGCAGTGAACAGGGGGTAACAGGCAAACTTGAGCTAGGTGGATCTGTCTCAGCTTTTGGAAGCATGAGTCCTTTCTCTCAAACCCATGGCGTGTAGTTTCTATCCTCTCTTGGCTAAATGGGAACATGTTGGAGAGGAGTTTGGATCTTATAGTGGGTGTCTCAAATTTTAAAAAGAGCAGGAACATTTTACAAAGAATTATCTCTGGCTCTGCCTGCACAAATGGAGCTCAGTATTCACATGGACTATCCTTTCACCTTGGAAGATCCACATTATATTATAGCCCACTGAAGTCACGTGCCTGTGACTTCTCCATCTCATTACTATGGAGCTGTGGTACCAAGCACTAGTGGCTGGTCTGGGTCTGCTCCTCTGTATTTATCTTATCCAAGCCACATGTCTTGTATTTTGCAGAATCTGGCTGCTTTACAGGCAGTCCCCGAGTTACGCGGATCTGACTTACGTTGGATCCGCAGTTACGAACAGGGCTTTTCTCGCCCCGGGGGACGGGAGCGGTGGGACGCCCAGATGAGCCGCGGTCCCACCGCCCGCGTTCTCCGGGGCGAGAAAAGCTGCTCCCCGTCTCCCTGGTCTGACCAGCAGAACAAGGAGACGGGGAGCAAAGCCTCGGAGGACCGCACCACGCGGACAGGCGCGGGCACACAC